TTCAATTGCAGTAGTGATGACCCTAATTCCACTCAACTACTCATTGTCACCTGTCCCTGTCTATATACTGTGTATTGATGCAATGTGAAGTCTTTTATCGTAAAGGACTGGAGTTTTTATTGAAAAGCTAAAGTTTGAGAAAACGTCCTGAATGCTCACTACAACCATCAGCATTTACCATAGACATTTTCAATCTGTAGCTTTTTTGGCATTAAGTGCATTTCTGTTCTAGAAGGTGTTAGAGAAAAGTATGTTAGAGCTGTCTCTAACAACGTTTCTTTCTAACAAGACATCAACAAGGTATTCTGCATGGGAACTCAAAAAAGTTTCATATAGCTGCCAGCCAAAGTGCTGTTCAAACTCAAAGCTGTTATGTGACAATTGTACCATTCCACCCAGTGAAGAATACAAATGGCTGTTGGAAAAAGCGATACAAAGCTCTCTGGAGACACAGAAAGATTTCTATTGAGTTCAGTAAGTTTTGGGTGAGACCCTTAAGAATGCAGAAATAATCAATTAATCAAATATTTAAGTTTGCTCATACAGGACTAAGCACATTTTCTCCTCTAGAAATGTACTAGACACCAAACAGACCTAAGAGCTTGAGTTCAAACAGGAATAACTGCAGCAATATGAGGAAACTTGTACATAAGCTGAAGAAAGAAAATTTTCTGCTGGAAGTTCAGGTAGATGTGGAATCAGCTGCAAAAAGATGGAGTGATTACTGAAATTATGCAATTCCCGCCCAAAAACCCACCTTTGGGCCAAGATTAATTCCAAACTGTTTGAATATACAAATATTTGCCTGTGTTTCTTCTTAGGCATATTTCTAAGCAATGTCTTCAAAAACTTATTCTCCAAAACCAGATTAACCAGGATGTAAAAAATAAGAAATGACATATGCTTATATTAACCGAACATGTTATAGCCATTGGCAAACTTGTATGGTAATTATTTCTTCCAGAGAAGGTCATCCTGTATCACGTGCTTTAGAATAGAGAGATGCTTATGTAATACAATTATCCAGACCACTTGGATGACACCAGCTAAGTCAGGACGAGGTTTTCTTATGGATCAGTTCTGGATTATTTCTGCATGTTATACAAGACTGCTTACCACAAAATGCTTGAATGGTATTGGGAGCAAATCCCAGCACCCAGGACTCCCTGTCCCACTTAAGCACCCTAACCATGGGACTACATAGCCACACTTTCTCCTATTTTCTTTCTTTCCCCATGGATTCTTGCATACTTAGCTTCACTGTGACAACAGAAGGGTGAAAGGTCCTTCCAACCTAACTGAAAACCTTGTGTCTGGAGCATTCATATGGCAGATAGGAGCTCCAAGAGGAGCTCCCTCTTGGTTTGGGAGCCCCTAGAGCTCTGATCTCAGAGTCTCTGTGCAATGCTTTTATAACCAGACAACCGTACAAACAGTAAGTAATGTCACCTCCTCCTCTGGCTGCATATTAAAGGATGGTGCTAAAATGCTACATGGTTCTTAAATACAGTTATAGGGGCTGTGAAAGAAGTTAGGAGCTTCTGTCCTTTGGATTTTGGGCATCCTATAGGACTGAACCCTGCAACCATCTAATTTTCCAAACTTGCTTGCTGGTCTACTGATAAAAAGCCAGAACTTCTTTTCACAGGAATCACTGGGTTCTGAAAAGTGGGGGTCCTTCGTACTTACTTTTTATAATAACTTGTGAGTGACAATCTCAAACACTCTAAACATTAGTCCCAGAGCATCCAGGGGAACTAACATATGTTTTTCTCAATTCACAACAAGCAAGCAAGGAAATGCTCAAATGTAGTGCCTAGGAAGGAAAACGCATCAGTTGCCCTGATGGATATTCTGCCTTGGGGATACCATGGACCTAAAATATGCATGTATTTTTGTCTTTCATTAATTATTTTAGACTGCATCCATTCTAATTAGGTTCTTAGATAAGACTGAATAGCGAGCTTCTGTCTATTTTTCCAGTTTCTGAATTCACCCTTTGGCTCAGTGACTGGCTTCCATTTTATGTCTCTGGAGAGCATAACGTACTGCGTGAATAACTATGCTGTTTTATGTCCAAGGCACTTATCTGCTTCCATTAAACCATGCTGAGATTTAAAATTAACACAAGAGAAGGGAAAACTACTCTGACCCAGATTTTCATCTCAGCTACTTCGGTATAAATTCAATGATTAAAATTCTAATGGAATTCTCTTTTCCTTGAGATTTTTGTAAACTGTTAACCATTTCAACAGTAAACAGTTAAAAGCTGAGATCATTCAGGTTTTATCATATTTCTCCCTTTTGCCAAAATAAACTTAATTGAGAAAAGATGGAAAAATTATTAAGGGAAAGTAGTGGCCTGAAAATCTGTTCTTGTAAAAAAAAATTAAAAGGTAGTCTTGCAAAGGCAGAGTTGCAAGATTTGTAATTATAGAGTGGTTGAAGAGTTATTCAAACTGTCGTGGAAGCTGAAGGATGATTATTTAGACTTACAGTTGACAGGTGACTAAGTAACAGTAACAAAACCACATTGACTGAAAGTAAAACAGTTAAAATAGTTTAAAGGACTTCTACTACACTAATGATGTGAGATGCTTGGGGTCCCAGCTGGCACCATGTATTCCACAAACTCCGAGTGCTTTCTTCCACACATTGTCCCTCACGTTCATTCATCTTAACCTTTGTTTAATATCCTGTCCATATTTTCTTTGTCTAAGTCAAACACTGCTAGGCAAAGGTAGTCATTTTGAATTCTGCTCATTCTACACTCATTATTTTTTATCACTATTGTGTTCGTGTCACGGAATGCAAGATCAGGATATTTAAATATTTAAACACAAAAATATGTGGGGAGTAAGCCTGTAAAGTCGACACTGATAGAACTGTTCAGACAAATAACCTTTGCCAGCAATAAAGTGACCCTAAACCTTACAGACATTTGGCAAATACTCTTTAGCCTTCCACTGTAGATATTTTCTTGTGAAACTTCTGAACCTTTTTAGTGGTCTCCCCAGTTCATACCCCACATACCTTGAATATTCCTATAGAAATCCATATGCCTTAGGATTTAGCCAGTGGCTTCTCCAAAATGGCTCCTGTAGGTGTTCCTATCTCCCCTCACTTCTTGTTGAACTGTTGATAAGTGAGAAAGCGCCTTCTGAGGGTCCTTGGGGCCATTGACCCCCGTATGAGTTTTGGGTCCATAGAGCAAAGCGGAGTGCTCACCTCCCAGGAGGTAAACGCCTCACCAGGAGGCTGTTCTCCTACAAGACAGATTTTGTTTCATACAGGAGTGAAGGGAATGAAGAAGCTCACTCATAGCAGTAAATCCTCCAGGAGACCTTCTGCAAATGACAGTAACCTCAGTGCTGAAGTAATAATATTGATGTAACTACAGCAGTCTTAGGACACATTGATCTAAAAGAGGACCAGAGCACAGGAAGAGGTATTGTCCTTTATTAATCAGCTCATAGACCTGGAAGATGGACAGCTTTTTGGATTGCGTCTGCTGTCATTTCTTACCATGCCTGATGAAATGGACTCTGAACCTGAAAGGAATGGACCACAGTTTGGGGCTTAGCATTACAAGAGTGCAATAGGATGGTTAAACCTTCACAAAGTGAACTTGATTCATTTTCAGAGTCATCTGTAGATCAGAGTTAATAACTAATTATATTGCTTCATAATCAACTAATGAACATGTTTCAGTACATTTGAGAAACTAGTGCCTTTTTTAGTAACGCAAGGATTTTACTAGAAACCCTGTTATTAAACTAATGATCAGCACTAGGGAGAGGATCTCAACTGTAGTGTTTTTCACAGTTAACATGTTTAGTGGTGTGATTTATTGAGGTTACATTGTAAAATATATTTATGATTTTTATCACAATATTTATTGGAAGTTCTATATGTTGTCCTAATTTCACTAGATAAGTAGTCTGCCATAAGCTGTTTGCACCCTTTAAAGTTGACATAATTTATTAAATGCTTTTCAATACAAGGCTTTTTAGATTATGTAGTGGATGTGTGCATAGTATATTGCATTTACAAGCTCAAACATACGGTATTAATAAAGAGTGGTGGCTCTGACAATTTCCTTTTCTAAATAATGAAACTTTTTTGATTAAGGGCTGAAGATGCCAAGGTAGCCAGTCCGTAACCTAGCAAACATATGCACAGATGTACTTGAACACATGGTTATCAGTCTGTGAACTCACATAAGTATAATGTGAATCACCCTTGGAACTATCCCACAAAAGCCTCATCCAAAGGCTATTTAAATCTATAGAAAGATTCCAACTGATTTTGTTACATTGTGGATGAGGTCCAAAAGGGATGATTATGGATGTTTCTTTGCAGAAGGCAGGTTGTCAACTTCTTTAAGAACCGGTGAAATCCTCTCATGGCAAAAACTTCCATTGACTTTATTGAGATCAGGAATGTAGGTCTTCCTTCTCATGACTGAATGCCCCAGAAGCACAAAACTGGAGATTTATTTAGACATTGGGTAATTTGTTCTCCATTTGCTTTCTTTCTCCCCACCCCAAAATAATTATTAGCTATTCCAGGGAGACCTCAGAAAGAGAGGTTTTCAGGACTTTTCTCATTCTGGCTTAGCAGTTTGAGCACTCCTCCAGGAGACATGGTTTAAGCGCTCTTGGTAGAGGAGAGATGCAGAATAAGCAGCTACTGTCACCACCAGATTGAATAAATTCAGGTACCAGCAATGAATGATCTTTGGCTGAAATCAAGCTGTCACTGGAGTCAATAAGAAATGAGAAGAAATCATGTTTTCTTTCATAATGAAAACAGGCACACAAATTGAAAAGGAGGAACTTCAAGCTAATACTGTTTCATTTTCTAACTATTCTGCTCCTGCCTACTAATTTACTTTTTTTTGTTATTTTTTAGGACAAGGCCTTAACGGTTTTCTTTTCTGCAAATTTTATCAGCTGGCTTCTTTTTAAAAAATATAACCTTTTTTTCCTTTCCTGCAGGTCCTGTTACCACCATATGATGATCCTGTGAACGGAGCTGCTAAAGATCCACCACCACCCTATGTGTCAGCATAAGTGAGAAAGTGCTGTGTACCTAGGGAGGATAGCTTTACTTTTCAGACATTTCAGGAGCAATAGTTTGATAATTTCACTTCCAGGATATAACCTCTATGGGTTATACGTTGCTGTTTTGCTGACATATTGAAACCTAAATTGTACAATTAAAATTCTGTAGATAGTTTTAATAATTTGCTGCAACTACAGTAGTGTTTCAGAAACTAGTGAACTAGTTTCAGAACAATCCTGGGTGGCACTAAGGTCACTGAATAGCTTTTTCCACCATGTCTGACATGCAGTGCTAGAGAACGTAGAACTTTGCATTCTCAATCAGGTTCAGAGTGTAACCTTCTTCTTTTCATTTGTAAAACTTCCAAAGCATTACAAATGTGTTTCTCAGATGCCCACATTCACCTTCAGAATACAGACCAAGTCCAAAAAAGTTACGTTCCACTTCATTTCTGTTCTGCAATAATTTATTAAGTTATTATGCTCTGAAGAATGGTGATTGCAAGAAGAATGAGCCTTACGCACTATTATCATCAACCTGGCTAATGGGAAACAAATTTAATTGGGAAGAATAAGTATGGGAAATGAGAGTAGACAAGGCACTCTGTGATGTGTAACAAGCCAGAACCTATGGTCTACACAGACTCACTTTGTCCCAGCCTGCAACCATTCTAACGCTCAAAAAAAAAGAGTTCTTACCAACTTCTGGTAATTTTCTTTTCCTGCCTACACAACTTTTTCCTCCTCACCAACTCCACAAATAGTATTTTCAGGTCACAAAATCCCTGCTTTTAAAGTCCCATGGTTAGGTGACAAAGCTGCGTCTTTCGCACTCAATATGCAAATGTTTTCCCATTAGAATGTGCCTGTAAATATCGCAATGTTCTGCTGAGTGTGAACTAAATTATGCAGATTCTAAGATATATGTTCCCAACCTATGGGAAACTCATGCATGTAACTTCCTCGAGCATTAGCAGATATGTTTTGCATGTTTATCATATACATCAATGTGGGGATTTCAGATTCCTTTTATGACCGAACTGGTTGTGCTGAGCATCTTTCTCATGGGACTCATCCATCCATGAATGCTTGTGTGAGGTATTTATTTCTTCCCCAGAGAAGTGCCTCCTGCACATGTAACTTTGTGTTTTTGATGAAGGTTCTACTTTTAATGGACAAGGAACAGGAAAAAGGAATATAATGTGTGTGTCTACCTCTCATCGTTTCCCCCTGTGTTGTCTCCTCTGCATTTGGGGTGATTGAACAGGCTGAAGTTAGACTGATGCCATTGCACACTGCCCCAGGTAAAGGGCAGTGCAGAGCTGAGCCACAGTTTGGAAGGGCACCAGAAGAAACCAAGGTGCCGTCTCTCCTGTGACTGGGCTGGCATGCGAGTCCACACCCTTCCTAAGGAGGACACCCATTCTCACCTTCAGTGCATTGACTCCAGTCTGCAGACTGAAGAATAGTGGATCTTTTCCTGCCTTTTTCTGGAAAAGAGCTTTCCAGGGGAACACAGGACTGACAACTTCTTTTCATGGAGGTTGGCACTGTGACCTGTCCTTGCAGAGGCCAGGGAAGGAAGGGCCAGACTCTTTCTGCTTGTCTCTTCCACACCTCTGGGAAAAGGCAGGTCCCCATCTGCTTCTTGGAATTTTACGTCAGGGTTCATCTACTCTGAGATCAAACTAAGCAATGCTTTTCACTGAACCAATCCTGAAGTCCATCCATTGATCTCTGTCACAGTCCTGTTGCTTCCTTCAGAATAACTCCATGTATTATTATTTCATTGCAGTTATCTTTGGGAATGTATCTGAATTTGGAGGTTGGGCTGGCTGGCTGGGCTTCTGAGCTTCATTTTCTTTCATTCTTGACAGATTTGTGAAGGATTTTAAACAGTCATCTGTTTGAGAAAAGCTGTTTGTAAATACATTGCATCTGTGTATACAAACTTCTCTACAATAAAAGGGTGTTTCCTCAAGACTATGGAAATCATTTTTGCTGGTCTTCCAAGCACAAACATACACAAATTCCTGTCCAATCAATCTGACATGGCAGGATTTTCTCTGTAAATGATGTAAACAACAGGTTTTCAGTCCACTCACCAGTCCATTCACCTGCTTTCCCTCCATACTGTATGAGAAGTTCATACTGTATGAGAAGGGAATTCCCTCATACTGTATGAGAAGGGAGAATAGAACAGTAAGTTCTATAATTTATTGTACAATAAAAACAAGAGATAATTCAAGCTTTTAATTCACTGTCCAGAACTGCAGGCAGTTTTCCAAGTCTGATGAAGTGTGTGATACAGAACAGGGCTATACTGAGCTACACCGAAAGCTGGGGTTTCTTTTTCTTCACATCATTATAGGGATAATGTTGTGCTAATTCACATGAAATTTCTGTAGACTTTAGCTTGTCTTACTAAAGAATCAAGACTTCTTCACACACACCATATGTGCATAAGTGCGAGTACCTGTGTCCTGCCAGTACTCCTAATACCTTTTGGATTTTGTCCAATTTGAGTTAAAGAGGGCAGGGAGGTTATGGTATCAAAACCATGACATTCCTACGCATGCTGTAGATAGACAGCAGATAACGTAATATAAGTTCATCTCTGCTGACGTATCAGAGGATCCATGTGGGAGACAAGTTCCCCCCTCCCAAAGAAAAATGAAATTCTCTGGGTTACATGGAGAGACACGAACTCCAGCTGAAGTTTTTTTACCCTCAGTTGTTGAATTCATTCACCATTTCCATGCCTAATCCTGGGGAATTCACACCACAGCTTTTCTAGAATTCATTTTTAATAGCCATCTGTGACACAAAAACCCATTAAAAACCTGTCTTCTTAAGTTTCTGTGCTTTGGAAACTGCTTGCTTCTAACAGTGCTTTTTTCACTATTCCTTGCATTTTTTCCTTTCTCCCAGATATTAGGAGCATGTGCTTACTGAATTCTCTCCTGTTTTCTTATCTTAAACTCTAATATAGCAACTTATTATTAATAATTTCTAGTAACATAAGAGCAGAAAGAAAATATTTTCAAGGTATGTTGACATGGAACATCATAAATATGGGGCCAAAACCAGCCAGTAGGAATCTAAACCTTGACAGTACCAGAAATATAAGTAGATCTTTTGCTGAAATCATCTAATTTTTTGAAATATCTGTTATAAGACATTGCAGACTTTGCAAAGCCTACACATGATAAGGCACAAATCCCATTTCTCTTGTCTGTGCCTGATGCTTTTATTCCTGATGGAACAATGCAGCTTCGCTTCATTGTACACTCATCCATGCATCGTATTGGAGAAAGCAAAGAGGAATTCGTCGTGGTGACCCAACAGTGTGGCACTCGTGCTTGTAAGTACATTAAATTTTCTAAAACAATTACTAACAACCATTTTTTTAGGTGTTAGCCTGTCTGTACTTCTTTGGGAAAACCTCTGGTTGGTAAAAACAATCCAGACTTGATATGTTACCAAAGGCCATACCAGATCGATTTATGGCCAGAGAAAAGCTTGGCAAGGAAGCAGAGGGAACGGTAACTAGTCTGAAACAAATTCCGAATTCCATGCTTTCAAGATAGGGCATTCCTCACCACTACCCTGTTGGCCAAAGCATAGCAACTAGGGACACCATGGACAGTTTTAACAAATTTTTGCTGTTATCAACAAGTCTGCACGCTGATGCTTGGAATATGCAAGATGGAAGACTTGGCTACCGGTAAGGGCAGCATGGAGAGGAGAGTGGTAACAGGGACAGAGCATGGAAGGGTGTCCTGGTTTCAGCTGGGATAGAGTTAATTTTCTTCCTAGTAGCTGGTACAGTGCTGTGTTTTGGATTTAGGAGGAGAATAATGTTGATAACACACCGATGTTTTAGTTGTTGCTAAGCAGTGCTTACGCTAGTCAAGGACTTTTCAGCTTCTCATGCCCTGCCAGCGAGAAGCTGGGAGGGGGCACAGCCATGACAGCTGACCCAAACTGGCCCAAGGGCTATTCCATACCATATGATGTCATGCTCAGTATATAAACTGGGGGGAGTTGGCCAGGGGGCAGTGACCACTGCTCAGGAACTGGCTGGGCATTGGTCGGCAGGTGGTGAGCAATTGCATTGTGCATCACTTGTTTTGTATATTCTTTTATCATCATTATTATTATTATTATTATTATTTTCCCTTCCTTTTCTGTCCTATTAAACTGTCTTTATCTCAACCCACAAATTTTACTTTTTTTTTCACGATTCTCTTCCCCATCCCACTGGGCGGGGTGGGGAGAGTGAGAAAGCGGCTGTGTGGTGTTTAGCTGCCTGCCGGGTTAAACCCCAACAGAGCGCAACGTTCATGTATGTCCTTTAAACAGCACAGAGAGACAGATGTCATTGCATTGACAGGGTTCACTGCTACAAACCTGGTTGGCTTACGTGCTCTCCTTCTCTCTTTCTCCTGTGCTATGGTCAGGAGGAAACATAATTGCTCCTCTAACCTGTTAGGTTAGCTGTTACGCCAGCTCTGTTTCAGACTTTTATCATTTTCATTTTTCTTTGGGAGGGGGGAACTTGTCTCCCACATGGATCCTCTGATACGTCAGCAGAGATGAACTTATATTACGTTATCTGCTGTCTATCTACAGCATGCGTAGGAATGTCATGGTTTTGATACCATAACCTCCCTGCCCTCTTTAACTCAAGGAGTGGATGATACCTTGGTCTTACTTGTAAAGCAAAGACATCTACAGATTTATTTTTCTAAGCCTAAAGGAGTATTGGTTAAATTCCTGCCAAACTGTCTAGTTTGACAAAAGACTGAGATGCTTCTCTGAAGCAAACTTATATCCTTAGAGGCTGCTCTCCTTAGAGACTGCTTCTCTGGAGCCAAGTTACATCTTTCCCATTTACATGTCTCTATTAGCTGCAGAAATTTCAGTCAGGTGCCACAAAAAAGCATTTCTTGCAAAATTTCAGTGCCTATGGCTACGGAGATGTTCCAGCACTATCTCAGTTCACA